CGCCGCCGCCGCCTCTGCTGAGTTCAGCCTTGCGCCGGGGCTCCGCGCCACTGCAGCTGCTGCCGCAGCAGGGCTGACCTTGGGAAGAGCCGCCTGGCAGATGGAAAAGGGTATTGTTTATTGCAAGGGAATTTCCTTGCCCTTGCTGCGCGCAGGGAGCGTAGTGGGGCTGTGTCAATGGGCACGGCATGGAGTAATGTGCAGGGAAGGGGGTGGGGGGGACGAAGGAGGAAGGAGAGGAGTGAAAAGGGGCGGGCGTAAGTCTGGTCAGCAAATAAGGCATCGCTCGCTGTAGAGCTGAGACGAAAGGAAACATTTTTTAAAGGCTCCGTGCCGAGATGTCTTTATATGTTAAACCCTCCACTATTTATATGGAGGATTAAACGTCGGGGGTGGGTCTTTATCCCTAACGCTTTCCCTCAGAGGACGGGGAAAGGAGGCTGGAAACAACCTGAATATCTGGTTTCCTCCATACATGCCCTATCATGCTCGACACAAATGCAGAGCACAAAATGTCAGGTGTGATTAGGCCGCGGGATGCAAAACCGGGCTGTGTTATAAGCAGGCATCTCGGTTGACCCTTCTGGGCACAGAAAGAGGGAAAGGGTGTAAGGAGTGGAGAAGTGCATGGCATCAGGAGAGCCAGAAGCTATGGAACCCAAACAGAAATTTGCTGCAAAAATAAATCAGAGGTGACAGCTGAGAGTTTTGTGAATTGATAATAACCATCATTAAGCAAGAGAAACCTGCAGTGGGAAATCCCCCCCCATCTGTTCTGTTTGCTCCACATATGCTTAGCGTGGATGTAAAGGCGGTTTATTTACAGAATGGAGAGATTATTAATAGAAATGATTCCTCTACTGTGGATAGTTTACATGGTTTTGTGAGCCACATACTAATTTAGAGAATAGTTTACTTAAAAGCCACTGTCATATTAAATTCGGTGCTACCAAGAGACGCCTTGTTATTGTGGACTAACATGTTTCCGGGTGGTTCCAAAGCATCTATTTTAAACATAAGGCAGTACTGAAGAGTGATAGCTGAAAAGCATATTCAATAGAAACACCTCAACATTGTTTTGCCAGATGGGTCACAAAGATTTTAGGGCTTAATGTGTGTCATTAGGCAGGAGGGCGTTCACATATTTTGTTTTTTGTTTTTACCAGATGGGGAACACCATATTCACCAAATGGAGATTTTTAATAGCAGTCCTCCAGAAAAGGATAAAGTTGATGAGGAGGCATGTGACAAAAAGAGACAGATGAGTAAACTGAACATCTGTGTGGTGTTGTGGAATTAAAATTTTCAACTGGATTAATTCTTTAAACACAATACACTTTTCCTTTGAATTAAATTGCTTAAATTTTCCAGTCTGGCCCAGCTGCCTTTGATGCTGACTTAGAAAGAGCCAAAGTGATTTTAAACCTTTGTATAGTCTCTGTCTAATGTTGAATGAAGCTGGTTTGGCCCCTATCATGTTAAGCAAACCTCGAGATGGCTGCTTTGGTCCAGCAGAGAAAGGAATAGCTGCCTTCTCACCAGGCTTGTTTGGTTTTTTTTCAATGTGATGTATATTTTGGGGACAAGGGTATGAGGAATGTAGAGAAAAGGGAATTCCCTTAATCTCTGAGGTAGAAGATTAAACTGATTTTCCTGCTGCTTTGTACTGCTTTGTTCCACAATATACGGGGGAAAAATTGTGGGCAATTTTTATTATTTGGTAATTAAGGTATTTTTATTATTTTCATAGTCTGAAGTGGATCTCCAGTATGTCATCTGCCATCAATGGGAACAAATATCTATAGGAGGAATATTTCTGGCATGATGTGTCACACACATCACAGTATACCATTTTAATTTCTGAGAAGCAACAAATCCCCTGGAATATAGGGGGGGTTTTGTTTCTGGATCTCATATCAGATGTAATGGCATATCCCATTTGTGAGATCCATGGCACAATAAAAGTACGAGGAAATCAGTTGTCCAAAGTATACACAAAATGCTGATTGGATTGCTTGGTTGTCTGCTTTGGCAGGAGCAAGTGGTGCTTGAAGAAAGACCCCTGAATTTTGCTACACTTCCTTGAAGCAAGTGTACTTGTTAAATAGAGGCACCTAGTGAACACAAACACCACTCTCCCTTGGACTGAATATTATCTCTTTTTCTGCACAAATCTGATCTTCTCTCATTGCTTATTTCTGTAATTTATGACTGTTGAAATGGAGATTACAGAAAAAGTAATATATTTCAAAATCAATCCACATAATCTCAATATTCTCTCTCTCCAACTTGGTGTTGTGTCCTTCATTCAAGGTCTTTGCTCTACATTTTTAAAGGTCAGTCTCATACATTTAGGTCTTGGCAGGATGACAGCTAAGTCTCAGAGAGGAGGAGCAATTTAAGAGGATGCACTTGTTCACACAGCCTACTGGCCTCAAAAGGGTTCTGTTTAAAAATAATTCTAGAGGCTGATTGCATTTGTATTCAGCAAACTGACACAATGGGCTGATAATGGAAGAATTAGGGCCAAGATGGGGAGCAGAACAAGTTGTTTTCCCCTTATGGCAAGTGTATGCCTAATTATAATTACATTAGGGATGTGATGGTGAAGGATTACTATGCTACTGTCATCTTTACTGCTCTAGAGGGCAGAAGAGTAACTAATATGGACAGTGAATAATGGCACTTAGATTATATAAGAAAGTGCACTTTGTAATTCCTAATGGCCAGATGCTGCAACACTTGCTCATGATGAGTAACAAATTACTCTTAAGTACCTGCTTTGGTTTTCATTGGGGCTACTCATAAAGAAAGATGTTATTCAGTCTGAGCAGGTGTGCAGGAATTTGAACTTAAATAGTATCCACAATGTTTTTATAAGGCAGAAACATTCAAAGATTCCTTATCATTTTTGCCTTCAAAGGGACCTTTAATTTGATAGAAACATGACTGTGTAGGAATAACCTATAGACCCTTATTCTGGCAGTCCTGACTTTGATCGTAAATGTCTTTACTTGTTACATAAATACCCCAGTAGTACTAGTATCATTTCCTTAAATCATTTATCCTCTATCAGTTCTCCCTCATTAATATCTTTTAGAATCTACTCACTGGAGAAAAGTTAATAGGTTTTTTTTTCTGTTTAAATAAAAGGTAAGTCAGGTGGCAATTCAAACACAGTGCAGAGACAGAAAAACAGCCAAGAGTTTATGTTGCTGGATGGATTTTTTCTGTATCTCCTTTCTCTGCTCCTGATCCATTCCTCTGTTCTTTTCTTCCTTTGTTCTCCTCCTTTTCCTTCCCCCTTTCATGTCATACAATGTTCTTACATACTTACCCCTCCTTCGTTTGAATTTCATCTTACTTTTTCTCAGCCAGTCTGCTTCAAAAGGCTGCAGCCAAGGTCACTGCACTTCCTCTGATTTTCTTTTTCCATTGGCCAAGTCCCTTTGCCAACTTCCCACCCTTATGAAGCCTCCTGGTACCAGCATTACAGCCTTTCTCTTGTTAAAGGGCTATCACTCATGCTGTTGAAATTGGAGCAGAGAACAACAGGTGAATATACTCCATGACTACATGCTCAATTGCAGAAACAGCTACAAAGAAAGGGTCCATAAAGCAGACAGGACCAGACAATTGTTCCAATTCTGGAGGCTTAACATGGGTGATTTTGCACTATGGTATGAATATGTAGCCTGAGGCACTGACAACTCATGGCTATGACTGAAATTAATGAGAGCTGCAAATAGCCAGCACCTCTAAGTATGAAACCAGTGTCTAAACAAGAGTATGTATGTTTGTGATGCATAAATACGTATGGCACTTTACTATTATCATAGCTACTACAGACAGTGGACCATAAATCACCACCTTTACTCTCTCCTCACAACTCAGCCTTCTACACACAACTGTTGTCCAAATTCTCCCTTCTAGTTGAAGGTTGAAGCATTCAGTGAGGCAACAAAGGCAGATGTTAGCAAAGCTGCTCATAAAGGTTATCTGCTCACTAACAGAGAAAGTTTTATCCAGTAAATTAATACGAAGTTTTCTTTGTCAGAGGATAAAATCTGCCAGAAGAATGAGGGACCTGAAAAAATTTCCATACAATGAAATTTGATTCAGTGGGTAACTGTTCATCATATATTTTTGTTATGATTAAAAATGATATAATTAACAATTGGTCATTGGTTTTTCTTTTCAGGAAGTGCTCACTCAACTAAATCTACTCTAGATTCACATGTTTGCCAATTTTTGTGTAGACAGCAATATTGCTTTAGCAGTATGTGTCACCCAAAAACGTGTGGCTGGCATAGGAAAATTACAAAAAGAGGCTAATTTCTCCTAACACACATTTATGGAAAAAAACCCAACTGAAATTTCTTGGAAAACACAAAAAACAAAAAATCTCCTGGTAGCACCTCTAAAGCCATGCCACTCTGTGTGTGTGTGTGTGTGTGTGTGTGTGCGCGCGCATGTGTGTGTGTGAGAGACCCCAAAGCACCCTACATTTATATTACAAGTCATTAGAATTAGTTCAGGTACATTCTGGGCTAA